GCAGCCTCGCATACCTGGATGTGCTGTGCTTGCTCTCTAACCATCTTATATGCTGTGGGGATCTCAGTGTCTGAAGCTCCTGTAAGTCGCCATAAATGCCTGAAGGCTCCCCTTTCCCACAGTTCCACAGAGCCCTTTACTCTGCCTCTGCTGTGAGCTCCGAGCTGTCCTGCAGGGCTGAGCTTGTCTCTGTCATCACCTCAACATTTCAGCCTTCACCTGTGGCACCTCCATTCTGTGGCACAGTGGCTCCTTCCTGTGAGTCCCACTGCGGACTGGTTCAGGCGTGAGGAACTGGGCTCTGGACGGACTCCTCATGGCCACCCCTACACACTCCGTCTGGAATACCACCCTCAAGGTGACAGGCAGAGCGTCCTAAGCCTGCAGACCCTGCACCGCCCTGCACACTGTGCGCCTCCGCCCACTCAGACCGGAGCGGCCCAGTTATGTTGACTTCCTCGTGGATGGTTCTTCAGTGCTCTGAGGGAGTTACTTTTTCACTGGCCAACAGGGTTTACTGAATGAATGAAAGACAGAATAAATAAAGAGTTCCAAACAATGAATATGGGCATTCGGACTGCTGTTGTTTTAAGATCCTCAGTACTGAAACCCTGGAGGGATCATGCTCAGCCTATGCCAGAGTCACACTTCTGAGCACTTAGGCTCTACTCCTGCCTTGGGTCCAACTTGCTGAAGGAATCGGCTATGGTGAAAGTTAGTTCTAAGCGAAGGCCCGGTGCTTCAGACAGCTGTCTGTACTCTATGACCTTGTATCAGGAAGTCAGGTGCATAGGCAAATGAGGGCATCGCTTCTGTTTAAATATCAGTTACTGCTGGGGACTGCAGAGCCTGCTGAATTCTGGAGCCCAGAAATGGTCCGCATTGCTCAGGATATGACTGTCTCCTTGTTCATCCTCCTGTCTGCACTGGATCTCCCACAGGGTCAGTATCCAGAAAATGTGGATTTCAGAGCAGAATTCATAGGCCATGTGTGTTAACTTTCCTGCTTCCTTTTGTCCCCAGGGGTCCTGTCCCAGGTGCAGCTGCAGGAGTCGGGTCCAAGATTGCTGAAGCCGTCACAGACTCTGTCTCTCAACTGTGCCATCTCTGGGGACAGTGTCTCTAGCACCAGTGCTACTTGGAACTGCATCAGACAGCCCCACGGGAGAGGCCTGGAGTGGCTCGGAAGGACATACTACAGCTCCAAGTGGTACAACGAGTATGCACCATCTCTTCAAGGCCGAGTGACACCACCCCTGACACATCCAAGAACCAGTTCTCCCTGCAGCTAAGCTCCGTGAGCACAGAGGACACGGCCGTGTATTACTGTGCACGAGACACAGTGAGGAGACATGAATGGGAGCCCAGACACAAACTTCCATGCAGGGCCGCTCAGTGCCAGCAGGGGTCGCCCAGGACCTACAAGGGCCGCCTGGAACCGAGAGGGTTCTTGAGAGAAAGGCTGAGGGGGAGGGTGCATAAAACGCTAGAGAATTCTCAGTATCAGCTCATGGTTCACAGCGACAAAGCTGCAGCATATGACTTCGTGGTGGGCGTTAAATTGGTTTTTCTTAGCGGCTCAACATGAGAGAT